CACAATTTCTAGTTGAATATTTGTGAATAGAACTATTTAATAACATTGAAGCCTCTTGTTTTTTTATATTTACAGTAATTTGCATTATATAAAGTGAAGGCAGTGTAAGAATTTGTAACTGTGAAAATAACTGTTACGTGAAGTCTTCAGATGAGCTCCCACCATGGACCTAATAATTTTTTCTGCATGAGAAATATTTTATTCACATAAGCTGATAGGCACCATCAGACCATATGTTAATAGGGACTGAACAAGTCCATAATATGCCAATTTCAATACTTCCAAAGACACTGTTCTTTGTAGCTGTCTAATTATAAAGCACATAGTGCTCAATTTTCTCGCATGAACATTGATGTGTTCCTCCCATGTCATCTCATGGTCCATAATAATTCCAAGTTATGGTTGGGAGATAATCTAACTTCAGAAAGATTAGGTTTAGGGCTAGGGATATTCATAAAATGGTTACTGAAAAGATTACAGATATTTTCCAAATCATTTGTTCTTGCACTTCCTGTTGTGTTGACATCGGTTTTGAAGATATCCCTTTTGCTTCATTTATCACTTCCCAACTTTCATTACATTGGGTGCATTCCGTATTCTTTCATTATTAAGTGAATTTTGCCTCTTTCAGTTTATTTTTATATAAAACTTTCAAAGTTTTATATCTAGTTTGTATCACTCCATCTGAACAATGTTTTGCAATAATATTGTAAAAATATTATTGACTTTATCATTGATATTTAAAGAGATATATTTCTGACCAGTTTTCATTTTCTTGAATGTTATCAAATTGCTCTCTGATAGATCACGTACGAAAAACATCTCATTTTGCTTATTATCACCAACAAGTACATCGAACTGACAAATCTTATCATATTACAAATAACAAATTAATCCTACAACTGAGAGAACCTTGACTCAGAAGTTCCACTTGAAATGCCCAAAATAAAACCAGTTTTATCCAGAAATAAGCACAGCAATGAAAGAAATAATGTATTGTCACCCTCTTGCAATGACTTGTGTTCAATAAGTACTGTTTCGTGGCCTCGTTTGCCAGATATCACCACGCACGAATTTTGTCTCTGAGAGTATCGTCAAAAATTGTTACCAGCATGCTTTCGAATCTGATGATCAATTGAGAACACTAATTCCTAAAGTGTTTCAAAACATTGCACCTAATGTATTTCAAAACATTGCACCTAATGTGTTCTAAAATCGACAGATTTTATCTGTAGGTATTTGGAAAATAATGGTCATTTTGTATGGTATTGACAGAGTATTCATTATGTTTTTGTCTTTAAAATGGGACATTCACAAACATTTCCGGTTTTGAAATATTTGTTTTTCCCGGGGCGCCAAAAGCTCTAGGACCAGGTTTGGACTCGTGAAAATATTTGAAGAACAGTACTAAAAAGTACTGAGTGGGTATTGTAATTCACTTCAAGTGTTGAGAAAAGAATGAAGAAAATAATTATTCATCTTAACACACATACTTCTTTGTGAAAAACATTACTGTGCAGAATGATTATCGCAAAGTAACTAAATATTTGCACTATGGAGTACGTGAATGTACCATAGTATTCTGATTTGTGATGTCCTTGTCCTCAGTTTCTACAGTTAAAATTGCAATGAAGCGATATTGTGTATGGCGCTATCTCACCTACTCTCAATGAGAAAAATCTAAAATCGAAGTAAAGTTTTGGCTGTTAATTTATATTAACTTGAATATACATGAAACTATGATTGATGACTAGTTGGATTCAGAATGACGTATAGAAAAATGCATTTTTTCTATGATCATTGAGGTGAGTAGAATATCCTAACTCATGCCTTTCCAGCCAATCATACTTGAACAGATTCATAACTCACTACCTTCGAGGCCAATCACATATGAGCAAACTCATCAACTTTATAGTCTATCCATTCCCAATTGGAACGGCAATAAAAATAAGAGTACAGTCATAAACATTTCTTGCCTGTGGCAAGAGGTGTGAAAATCTTAGTGTTTTTGGGTACTTTCATCAATATGGCTTTCTGGAAACCATTTGAAATAAATGATAACATTACATGTGAGGAATCTGTGTCAATCGACAGGGATCCGGAATTTGAAAATAAGGATTTACATGTTCAAGTTCAGCGAGTAATTTTAAATATTCATGAATGCTTGAAGAAGGAAAACTGTCACACTTCACAGAATACAAACTCATCAACTTTATAGTCCATTCCCAATTGGAACGGCAATAAAAATAAGAGTACAGTCATAAACATTTCTTGCCTGTGGCCCCTAGTCGCCCAGATAGTTAGTAAACGTGCTATCAAATGAAGTTGAGGAATAAAGGCTCGGCTAGCTGGACTGGCTGAATACTAATTTTTTGTCCGTTTCACAATATTTATTCATCAGTGCCGTGTGTTCATGGAGTTGGGTGATGTAGTGAAAGGTTTTGCAAATCGATTTTTGAAAATTTTTTCTAGAGATCAATTACCCTAACAACAAACTGATATTTTTGCACTCGACGCGTGTTTCGCTAACAAGGTTAGCATCTTCAGGAGAAGCAAATTGATACTGAATCTAAAGACAAGGGTTAGCTGTTCATATACCTAAAGTTTTTTGGTCCGATGTGGACTTTGTTTGTTAAATGATGATTATCCGAATTTATTTTTTTAGTAATTAACTAGTGGAACCACTACCTGCAAATTAATTTGTCCGCTTTTTAATCTATTGTTGCGTCATTCGAAACCTGGTTCAGTGAGCAGATTCTCCCAAATATTCCTCCAAACTCGGTTATTGTTCGATGTGTGAAACACGTGGTCAAATTCTCTTACGTTTGCCTCCATACTATTGTGTGTTCAATCCAAATGAAATGATTTGGGCCACAATGAAAGAAAGCTTGCGGAAATGTAATCAGTCACCGACTTTGAATGCTGTAGTGCTTGACAATATAAGGCGAGTGGTGAATGAAGTAGGTAATAGTGATGTGTGGAAGAACTGTGCGTGGCCCACGTTATAAAAGAAGAGAACAAATATGTGCAAAGTTCCATAAATCCGATCGTTATTCAACCCGATGATAATTTCACCTCATCCGAATATAGCGAAGAAGAATTTTGATTTTTCTAGCAATTTTGTTGGCTTCTATTATTTTGTAAATATATGTTTGACGAGAATTCGGTGTGATTGTGTTTTCATTGTATTTTAGAGTTTTCGACTCGGAAATCAACTACCTTAAATTTCGAAGTTTTTCATAATTACCCATGGTGGAAAAATTCAGTTGAGATAACTTTTTCATGGGGTGATCAATTGCTATGATTGTAAGAATAAGTAACTGAAAAACTGCCACTGAAAAATAATATGTCGACGCCTATGTCGAGGCGGGAATTCCTTCTCTGTGCTGTTCCGATTGGTATTGGAAATACTATATAGCGGAGTTTAATTTTTTTCAATCGCAAGTAAACGTTGAGAACTGATTTTACTAAAAATATGGTCTCGAACGACAAACTTCATCATTGAACTAACAGTTTGTTTTTTATAGAAAAAACTCGAGAGGTGAAAAGGACTACACCACCAGATAGTTTATTATGTAGCGAAAAAATTAATATTTTTCGAAAGTTTCTAACAAAATTAGAATGATTTGGAACTCAAAAACTTTTATGTGGCATTAATTTACTTAACGATTGTAAGGTATGTGTTTAAAGTAATGGTAATTTGTATTAGGTTGTTTCAAAAGTTTTGCCGTTTTTATTAGTCTGCTTTACACTGTAATATCTCAGTGAATACTTTTTCAATTTAAACGAAATAAGCGCTATTTGAATCAGTGCACTTTTGCCAACGTCCCACGAGTCGGTCAATTTCGTCAGCATGAAAAGTGGGTGCTGGAGATTCGACGAAGGCCGTTTTTGTCTGATTCTAATTGGCGAAGGTTCCACCGGTGACAAAGTTATCGAAGTGCTTGAAAAGATGGTAGTCGATTGGCGAGAGGTCTGGAGAGTATGGTAGGTGAAGCAGAACTTCGACGCTCAACGCGTTTAATTTTCGTATGCTGATTTGTGAAACGTGCCAATGGGCATTGTCGTGGAACTGAATCGGACCTCTTTGCTGGTACTGATTTTTGCCTTTGGGAAGTGTTTGTGGCTCATCGGCATTCAACCACTGTCCTGAATGTCTCCTGTTGTTGTAGAGGATTTTCTTTTCATCACACGTGACGATTTAATACAAAAAAGTATTGGTTGCGTATTGTATTGGTTGCGCAAAGGCAAAGGAGAACAGACCTCGGACAATTTCTGTCGATCGTTCAAAACTTGGGGCACCTACTTTTCGAGCTTTTTGACCTTTAAAACCATCAAAAACCGTATGGGAGCTGACACCTAGTTCTGCCGCCATCCCACGCACCTTGATGGGTCGGTCTCCACCAGGATCCCTAATCCTCGTCCGGGATTACTGTAGGTCGGCCACTTCAAGGCTAAAATCTCCGGAACGAAATTTCTTAAACCAACGTCGAACAGTGCATTCATTAACACAATCATTGCTAAATGCATAGTTAATTTTTCGGGCTGTTTCGGCAACGCTTTGGCTCAATTTGAGTTCGTTGAGAAAAAAAGGCCGAAATTCGTTCAACGACATTATGTAGGAATAAGCTGAAAAGAGGCAAAAATTGAAATTTTTGAAACAGTCTAATAGAATACGAAAATTGTAAACAGTATTTCCCGGGTTCAAATCTCACTGCCGGCAGACTTTTCAAATTTCTTTCAGTCACCCAATTTTCAAACTATCTGAAATTGAATGAAATAACAAGAATAGGAAGTATTTGTGAATGATTGCTTTTTTATGATATACATTGGAATATTCCTCTCGAATGAATCTTATTTTGAAATATTCCTGATATATTATAGAAAAAGTATAGTAGTTTACTTGAGAATAATGGTCATTACTCGCTAGAATCACTTACAAACTTCATTCTCACGAGTACCTTAAAGCGCATCATTACACCTATAATGGTTTAAAAATGTATCAGTTTGTTTATTAATAAACAACTCAACAAAAATTACAAAAATAAATGACTGGATTTTTCTTAAATGGGACACACTGTTTCAAGTGACAGGCCCGGGACGCCTGGATGTTTAAGGCCGGCCCTGGAGATATCCTCTGTGGATCACCCTCAAACAAATAGGCAACCTGTTGAACACGTACTTCGAATGCAACGAGTTTCTGGTTTCCGTTGTTAGTTCCTCACCTGTCCGCAAGTCGCGCCACGCTACCTAAAACACAGGTAACGTAATTAGAGGTAACAGTACATGAGAGTTGACTGCTTACGGACGGGCACTGGCTACGCTGAAAAATTGGGTGTATTCGATTCGTGAGTGAAGTGAAAATTCGTCCACCGGTCATGATAAACAATTCACCACATATTATTATTTTATAGGTCTACATAAAATTCTGGAATGACATTTGACTATCTTTCAAAAATAACTTATTTAAATTTATTCAGCAGATAAGAAGGACGCTTACATTGAATGCCATCATGATATAAAGTCACTACATGAATAAATTGATGCAAGTGTAGCCCTTACTGCGTGGTAGGAAATCATCATGAAAAATGGGAATTGAAACTTTTTATGTTTTTTACCACTTTTATTAGTTTAATGTATAGGTTAGAAATTGTCCTTATAGGACTAAACTGCAGTAACGTTAGTTACGAATAAAAGTGGTAAAAAACATAGAACATTTCAATTCTCATTTTTCACTACACGAAGTTTTCGCCTGTTATACATAGTAAGCCACTTCATTTCAGATAATTAAAAGATATATTATCGTCGTAAATGGTTCAACTGGAACCTCTGGAGTATAATAAATCCAAAACAAGCACTTTTCCCAATCACCAAAACTTCAATACTCTTTTTGACGCGCGTTCCACCAACCAAGAAAAACGTCTTCATCTCCTGAAGACGCCAACTGCGTTTCTGGTAATTAGAAAAAGTGCTTGTTTTTGGATACACCCTTCCAAACTTATGGAAAACAACTTAAAAAATTAAATTACTTTGTTTCTAGAAAAATGTAAGATCCTAACTAATCATCAACATGCTTTTAGAAAATCTTGGTCTGTTGAGACATCTAGAGCTGGTAAATATTAGTTCATTGACAACAAAATTGATGAGGACAAATGTGCAGTATCAATTTCAATCGGCCTGGCAAAAGCATTTGATTTTGTGAGTAATGATATAATGGTTAGTAATGAAATGAGATGATTTTTCCTTGAATGTATTGAGTTATTTATGAAGATGCTGATTATACTACCCATAACAGTTTCCAGTAATATATTAGAAGAATTAGAAGACATAATTTCGGGAGTTTCGTTTCTGATATTGTGCTGGGCTGACGTGCCGATATCGACTGTCCACAAAGAAGGTACGCGGTCGACATTGTTGGAGATGAAACTCAGTTTGTGTTGTGACTGTCCGCCGTTATAGAACGCGCCACCATTAAAATAATTATTAGTATTAGTGTTAACGAGAGTTGTACAAGTGTTAAAGGAGAAATGGCACCCTGATTCACGCCGGTTAGAGGCCGGAGTGGACCGGATGACCACGTGGGAATGATAGGATTGCATCAAAACGTCTCCCGAGCAGAAGGCGACTTAATAAATAAAATTAATTGTTTCTACAATAAAAAAAGGATGGCAGCATTGCTTCGAGCAATACCCCCCACCCCATCCCACCCCACCCCGATGAAGCTCCTGTCAACTTTGATAGGAGGAAGATGAACAAATGCGCCCGAGTGGGAAGCAATGTCCAATAAACCTATAGAGAGAGAGAGAGAGATAGAAACACCATTTCACTCAAGGATGATATGACGTCTTGGTGCGATAGAAATCAACTGAAACTTAATGAAAGCAAGACAGTTTATTTAGGCTTATTTGTTGCCAGAGGCATTAAAACTCAATAATATCCAACTATCTGATACATGTAAACTAAATTTTATTAGTTCGGACTCCCACTGTCTAATATGATTCGAAATCTAGGAAAGAACTAATAAAATTAGAATGAATAATTGAAATTTCAATTATATATAAGCAATAAAACGTGAAAAGACAATACAATAAAACGAATAAAATAAACAAGATACAAAATGAAAAAAAAAGAAATGAAAGAGAGTTGACTGCTTACGGACGGGCACTGGCTACGCTGAAAAATTGGGTGTATTCGATTCGTGAGTGAAGTGAAAATTCGTCCACCGGTCATGATCAGGATTAACTGAAGGGTTTCCGAATTTTCATCCCAGGTGAGTGAACTTTTCAACTTAACACGTCCGCAACCCGTGTGGTTCGTTTCTTCACGGTCTGCCACTTCACCGACCAACTAATTCTCGTAATACTTGATAATAATTTTCATACCAGGTGTATTTGAGTGCCACTCCGGAGGTCAGGGAACAGTTAAACGTCCTAGAGGAATTCTTCAGGTCCGGTTGCATTCATAACTCATAACTAATTCTTCAGATGATTAATCCGCTAGCTTGCGATATATCATACGTATTCTTTACTGTTATTATGCTTTATCTTTGAGCAATTGCATATATTTAATTAACCGTTAACACACTATGTACTTCCACCTGATGGTTGCTTCATAAATTGCTATCTAAAAGTAAATATTTACCAGAACCCTCGAGTCAAATTACTATATAGCTTAAGGACTATATACGCTAAATTGCCATGGAGAAGAATCACCTGTTCATGTGTAGTGAACAAGTAGGTATAATTAAGTAGTTATGATATACATGTTTACGCAAGAAGTGCAAACTTCACGGACAAAGCTCGAACCACTGATACCAGCGATTGGGTAGGAAATGCTTCCAACTGCCCCTTAGCCAAAGATAATGATAATTTGTATGCGGACTGGTGACTCGATTGATATAATTTTTACCTGGAAAATTGAGAAACAGTACAATTACTTATTGATCTGTTATTATATAGGTACATATTTCAAAGCATTGAAACACAAAAATACTGAATTTTATATAGGAAAATAAGATACTGTCCCGTGTGAGTAGGTTTTCGGTATACCAATACGTCTAAGAATGGTAATTCGTTGTGAACTTCCTACTCCATTGTGGAGGTGATGGATGGTTTTAGGCTATTGATGTGCTTCAGAAAGGTGTTTAGTTCTGTATTTCCATGGTTCCATACTATGAACGTAAACGTATCTCAATCAGACTCGGAGCTTCTTGATTGGCTATAGAGCGGAAATATTGGCAAAATGAGACATTCACAGGCGTTGAAACAGAGGTAAATCCAGTGATTATTAATTGAAATGACGATAGCAACACAATCACAAGTAGCAGTGAAGATGAAGAAAATGTGTATTCAGATAATGACTGATTGAAGTTTATTTTTGGATGGGTGTTCCATTATATAACATTTTAGTGAACTGTACTACTACCTTAAATAAAATATGAAAAGAAATAACAAAGAAGTCATGTTCCATTTGCCACCCTAATTAAAACTAATTATAGGCCCGACACTGGCCGGCAAGGGGCTCGTCGTAATTCAATAGTAATTTAGTGGTGAGAGTCTATACCTGCGCGATCGCTTGCCATCAGTCGCGGCGTGTATTGTAGGTACTTTCATTTTTGTACAATCTGCATGATTTGAAGTATGATTTTTCAATATTTTTTTTTGTTTATATGACATGTCTGATATCATTTGTATGATCTTGAGGACGCATTGACTAAATAAAAAAATAAAAGTGGAAGCTCTGAGCTATAGTTTGTGTAGCTTATACGCAAATCCCGCACTGCAATGGTCTGGCTGGACCAGTTTGCTTATTTCACATAGAGCTGGTCGACTTTTTTTTCGAAAGTTACATATTAATATTCTCGAAAGAGAAAGTGAGAATTCACTACAAACACGAGACGATACTTCAGTGGGCGTGACGATTTGTACCTATATCGGATTCTGATTCACGTATTCATAATTCTTGCCGGCTTGTGACTCGTGACCGTCTAGATCAAAGGTCGTAGACTTCGCAACCTTGACTTTACGGATCCAGTGATGCTGAGTTTGTCGGGTTTTTATGCAAATTTTATCCGCAGAGACATGTTGAGAGAATGACACACTAAGTATTCAGTAAAATTTTTTGTTGACGGTAGTGACTTTATCTTTGCGGAAGATTTTCGTTGGATACAAAATCGATTATCAATATCCACAATCTTAGGGATTACTAACTAATTTCGATGATACGCAGATGAATGTTTTCCGATTTATTGTATGTTAGAAAAGACAAATATTGTTTTTCATATATTATGTTTCAAAATTTACTTTGAACTGGCTAAGTAAAATTTTCTCCTGGAAAAATTTATTCCAACGGAAAGGATGTGTCTTTGGCAATGAAACTCATTTTATCAATATTTCACAATATAAGATCACAGAACTTACAAATAATTTATGATAAAACTCACTCTATCCACTCATTGTATAAAAATGGAATATGTACCTACCATCTGTAATCACCAGCTCTTTGGAAACAATAGGTACAACACATATTATTTGAAAGCTATGATCCGCGCACTCTATGCTTTCGATTGCAAAAGACAGGCATCTATATTCTAGATCATGCTAAATTTTTGGGGGAATCATATGATACCTTTCGAACGTTTAAATTTTTCTAATCCTGAAGTAAAAAATGAGGTTCGTTTCAAGATCGACTTAAAACAATGTTAGACTTCAGCCAGTACGAAAAAATGTTTAAAAAAAAGTGTATGTGATAAGTTTTGACTCTGGTAAGGTTATATATTTATGCAGTTGATTGAAACATTGAACCACATCAGTTTTATGCATTTTTGATAATGGGATCATAAATAAGGAAGGTCCAATTTTAGTTTACTGTCAGGGTTCCCTGACATTCCGTCTCTGGTGAGACAGTCCCACTTTTTGATACATTCTCATCTTTTATTATCAATTCCTCTCATCTTTTTTATATGATTTTTTGGCTTTTTCACTTCCTTCTTGAAATATATCCAATTTTTTCAGCAAAAATTTCAGCATTTTCTCCTTTCATGCACGATGCATTGTTATTGTTTGTTGACAATCAATTTTTGGCTCAAGTTTTAGCTCTTTTTTGTCTCAATTTGACAACCTCGTTACTAGAAGTACCATATTCTGCTTCAAATCCAAAACTGGTTCCATAAAAACTCAAGTTGAGTCTAATTGATTACAAAAAAGCTCAAAATGAACTGTAACTGTTCTAATTATCTAAGTTGTTTGAGTATTCCGTAAAGTCAGAGGATAGGTATGAGAATGTTTTGTTGTTTTTCTTTGGATTTGAGGAATTTACGTTTTACACAGGGCGATAAAATCAATAATGGCCGGCCCTGCATACACCACTACTAATGATGCTTTA